GGTGTATTTTATTGGTCTCTTCAATCTGTATGTGGAAACTCTAGCAGAATCTATGCCCTTAGAGCTTGGTCTTGCAAAACAAGCTGAACCCTGAGGGAAAGCCTGCAAATGCTCGTGGAGGGAAGGTTGCATAACCAGCAACATTCTGTGTCATGTACAGCAGCTGAAACAGCTGCTGGATCAGACATGGAAGAAAGATGGTTGTGCAGGTCTGACTAAGCATAGCTGTTCAAATGGTAGCAGCATCCTTCTTCTGTGCCAAATGGCTGCTGCATGTGGTGTGGAAGAGAAATGCTACTATGACCACGTGGGGGTCCTTTCCTGCACAGCCCTGTATGGCCAACTTTCTTCCATGTCAGGTGGCAGCAACTGAAATGGCTTCTGTAGGCTCGATTCCTGGCAAGCCCCCTACGAATGCTGGGCATGACTCAGGGCTGCTCCACAGTGGATTAGAATGCAGGGAGCTAAACCCAGGGAATCCACTGATTCACATATCCCTAAAGCGGGACATATAAGGAAAGTTAGATTAGGTCCACAGGAAGGAGAAGCAAAAATTGGCAGAGGATTCATGAAAGATTTAAGATATGCAGGTGATACCCTGTTACTGACAGAAAGCAGCAAGGAATTGAAATGACTCCTGAAGAAGGTAAAGAAAGAAAATGCAAGAGCAGGACTGCAGCTGAACATTAAGAAATCAATATGAGTGACTACAGAAGAATTACACAGCTTTGAGGTCAACAACGAAGAAATTGAAATTGCAAAATATTTTGCATAGCTTGGCACAGTCATCAATTCAGACTCAAACTGCAGCCAAGAAATTCAAAGAAGACTGATACTTGGAAGGGCAGCATGGAAGAAACTGGAATAGATCATTTAGTATAAGAACATTTCATTGGATACCAAGACAAGAAATATACAATTGTATTCCTGATCACCATGTATGGGTGTGAAAGCTGGACTGTGAAGACAGTTGGCAGGAAGAAAATGGATGCGTTCCAAACATGGGTGCTGGAGGGGAGATTTGTGAACACCCTGAACTGACAGAAAGACAAACAAGTGTCTCCTAGATCAAACCAAGCCATAACTCCACTGAAGGAGGCTGTGGTAAGACCATTTCTTAGAAAAACCAAACCTGGGACCAGGGTTTTTGGACAAGGTGCTTGAGAAGGTGGTGGCTGAGCAGCTCCAGCTACCCTTGGATGAAACAGATTATCCAAATCCATTTCAATTAGGCTTTAGGCTTGGGTTTGGGATGGAGACTGCCTTGGTCACCCTGTAGGATGATCTTTGCCAAGAGAGAAACGGGGGAATGCAACCCTGCTGGTTCTCCTGGGCCTCAGCCATTGACCATGGTGTCCCTCTGGACAGCTTGGCTGGGTTGGAAGTTGGGGGCCATGCGTTACAGTGGCTCCATGCCTTCATGGCTGACTGTGTCCAGAAGATGGTGCTGGGGAGCAGTTGTTCTGCCCCATGGCAATTGTGCTGTGGGGTTCTTCCGGGCTCTTTACTGTCCTCCATGGTGTTTAACATCTACTGTTGTTATTCAGAAATGGTGGCTGAGGTGTCATCAGTATGCTGATGACACCCAGCTCTACATCTCGTTTTCATCTAACCCAAGTGAGTTGGTCTCTGTGCTGAATCACTGACTGAACTCAATAATGGACTGGATGAGGGCCAGTACATTGAAACTCAGTCCGGATAAGACAGGGGTGCTGTTCGTGGAGGGTCCATCTGCTCAGATGTTGACCCTTCATCCTATCCTGGATGGGGTTGCACTCCCCTTGAAGGACAGGATTCACAGCTTGGGGGTGCTCCTGGACCCAAAACTATCACTTGAGTCTAAGGTAGACCCAGTGGCCAGGAGTGCCTTTTTTCACCTGCTTCCAGGTTACCAACTGCGGCCCTACCTGGAAAGGTAGAGCGTATCCACACATGCTCTGGTAACTTCTCAGCTTGGGTATTGTAACATGATCTGTGTGGGGCTGTACTTAAAGATGGTCCAGACACCTCAACTGGTACATAATAGGGTGGCACATCTTCTGGTGCAAGCGAGTTTGCACGCCCATGTCACCCTGATATTATATTGCTGCCATTGGTTACCAGTCAAGCTCTGGGCCCAATTAAGGTGCTTGTACTAAGGTTTAAATCCCCAAATACTTGGACCAGGATACCCAAAGGACCAACTGCTTCTATAAACCTACCCAGTCCTTAATATCTGGTGAGGAGGCCCTTCTGAGAGAGCCATCCTTTAAGGTGGTAACAGGATGGCAAATAGAAGAGAGGCCTTTGGCTGTGCCCCGTTTATGGAATGGCCTTCCAAAAGCAGTTTGCCTGGGGCCATCTTTACAATCTGTTCAGCACCAGTTGAAAACAGTCAGCTTCTCCAGACATTTTAAGAATCAATTTTATATTTGGATATTATTTATGCTGTTTTTACCTTTAATATATTTTAACTTATTGGTATCTGACCTCAGCTGTGTATTTCTGTTTTATTGTAGGTTGTTTGTTATTTTATGAAATACTGTTATTTTATGTAATATTGTACTCCACTTGGAAGGTCTTCAGACTACTATAGCAGAATATAAGTTGAATGAACTACTACTACTACTGCTTTCCCTGGAAACAAAAATGAAGGAACTGAGGCAGTCATATTTTGGCACATCAGAGGAAGTCAAGACTCACTGGAGAAGACAACAGTAATGCTAGGGAAAGTCCAAGGCAGAAGAAGGCAAGGAAGACCAACTGTGAGATGGCTGGGTTCCGTAAAGGAAGCCATGTCCTTGAGTTTGCATGAGCTGAATGGGGCTGTCAAGGACAGGACATTATGGAGGGCATTTATTTGTAGGGTCAGTATAAGCTGAAATGTCTCGACAGCATGTAACAACAGCGATTCATGAGCTAACCTGACCACTTGCTAATGATCAGGGCTTACTGTGTGCTTTCCTCACTAGAAGCCAGTGCTTGGTACATAATGCCTAAGTAGGCCAGCTCCATATACTATAAGTTCTGTGGCCAGTAGTCTTCCTCTATTGCAGAAAAGGCATTTCGAGCAGGTATGAATTTAGACTCTTAGAAAAGCAGAAAAACTATTTGTTTTGGCTTGACATAGCTGAAATGCAACTTCAGTGGCGCTGTATATTCTGCATCTTTGGGGATCTCTACAGGGTTAGAAATTGTACTGACTGCTTGTAAGAGACTTTTGGATTCTAGTATGCTCAATGCCTATACTTCTAGTGCATGGTTCATTCCATGGAATATATTTTATATAGAAGCTGCTTTTCGAATTTCTTGATAGGTGTGATCTTCAGCCATGGCATGAATTCTGAAGTTAGATGTGTGTGTAATTTCATGACTTGCTGTTTTCTCTTACTTGGAAAATCCTATGGCTTTTCCCCATAGGACTTGACATATCCAGAAATAGGCGGGGGAAAGGAACTATCTGGAACATTAAAGGGCCAGCTATGTCCCAGCTCTGTAGCAGTGAAAATGGGTACATTATGCAGTTTGAACTGAATGTAAATTCATGTTGTTCTATCAGTATCTGTACATCCAACAGATGTAATGAAGCAACAGCTTCTTCATTCCTCCTCTGTTTTCATGAACATAATACCAGATGGGCACAGCAAGTGGGAACAGTCCTACTACCTATATCAAAGCAACTGTATCCCTCTTTTGGGTTTTTGTGATTCTAATATGGGGGAATCTCGGGTTGGGAGATCTTTGAGACAGGATAAAGAAAGGGTAGCTAATTCCTGGAACTGTGGGTCACAAACTGATTTAAATTTTAAGTGCATGGATGAACTGAAGCCTTAAAACTAGCACTGACAGTACTTGACCAGTATTTTCTTAATGTGCTTCAGTATCCTTGGTCATTTGGAGCTTAGGATTTGTGAAATCATCTACTTGTTGTAGTTCATGCCTCTGCTAGAAAAAATGACCGTCTTTAGTTTATGTTGCATCCTTCATGAGAGGCTGAGTTTGAAGCATGTGTTATTCCTAAGTAAAGTAGACTGGAGTAATCCTGAGTGGGCATTTCAAGAGGTATCTTTGGCAGTAGGGATGGGGAAACTGATTATTAGATCTCTATATCTTTTCCTCCAAGATGTAGAAGTATTTGCTTTCTTGGAGTGGTGTAGAATGTACCCAGCCCTCTGGTGAGGAGGACACCTGGTGCCTCATTTATCATTATTTCCACTGCAGTCTTTGAGTAGGTAAGAAACAGAGTTCTTCCTGAGTATCAGGGAACACTGCCCCTGTTTCTTATTTTCTCTGAAACCCACAAAACTAAAGAGATACCCGAATCTTGTTCCCAAGGGCTCAGTGCATGTGACAGGACACATGGGATTAGAGGGGCAGCAGTGACAAATAAAGACTGGCTAGAAAGACAAATGAACATTTGTGGACTTAGTAGTTGACTATATCGGATATTCAGGATGTATTAAACATGTTGCATTAGAGTACGTAATAAGGGCCTCTACTGGGATGGCATTATAGTAGACTGTGCTATTGGCTCCTATAGGGGTGGGTGAGAACAGCAGATAAAGAGATGAAGTGACTTTCCAAAGTCAGGTAGGAGGCAGGACTGTACGTAGAACTCCTCTTCTTCCCTGAGGATACCCTTTTATTTTTGTTGCTATAGTTGAGAGAATGCTGAGAGAAGTATATTTAAAAAAGGCATTTCTGATCAATACTGGTTTAAAATTTAAATTTAACAGCCACAGAACAAGATGCCCCTCTTTTGCAGCTTCATCTCTGCAGTGGCCCACATGGAAGGCTGAAGTGTGAGAGCACTGAGACTTTAGCCAAGTGATTTTTGCAGCAGAGTGCTCTTCTGTATTTGTTATTCAAGTGACCCTTTCAACTAACAAAATAGTGATCTCTTGGGTTTCACTTTTGATCTTCATGGACCACAATCCTTTGTTCTTAATATAAGTATTTTGCAACTCCTTATGCTGATGTTTTGATAAATTATGACAAATATTTTCTTTTTCATTCTTCAGGTCAGGAAGATCCCAATAGCCTGCGGCATAAATACAACTTTATTGCTGATGTGGTGGAGAAGATAGCACCGGCAGTTGTTCACATTGAATTGTTTCGCAAGTAAACAAGAGATGCAAATTGCATTATTTTCCTAAATACTGTGTGGATTGTATATGCTGTTGTGAAAATATGGTTGCATGTAGAAGCTGCTTCCAAGGATAGCTTTATTTTTATGTTTCTGCTGTTGCTGTTGTTGCTGTTGTTGTTCTCTGAAATAGTGGCTATCTTAAAAATGCATTGAATGTGTTGTGAATGTTCTACATGTCTAAGATAACTGCTAAACTGAATACTTGATGGTATAAAAAGGCCAAAGAAGCAGATTATCTTCATCATCTCATAATATTATCTTCAGAAACTGCTTTCCCTCTTAATTTTTAAATTCCCTGTCTTTTAGACTTCCTTTTTCAAAGAGGGAAGTTCCCGTTGCCAGTGGTTCTGGCTTTGTTGTTTCTGAAGATGGCTTAATAGTTACAAATGCCCATGTGGTTACGAACAAGAACAGAGTGAAAGTGGAGCTGAAGAATGGTGTCACCTATGAAGCTAAGATTAAAGATATCGATGAGAAAGCAGATATTGCACTAATAAAAATAGACACTCAGGTAAGTCAGTGGTGATCATCTGTTATCTAGCCAATATCCAAATACACTTCTTTGTAAGACCTAGTTTTGCAGAAACAGACTTTACAGGAAAAATGAATGTTTATTTCTCAGATATATAGTTGAAGTAAGTCTTACAGATTTCTTTAAAAGTTAAAGACATATAAATAGGATTAGCATTTCAGTATCAGCACAGGTTTGGTACATTTTGACCTGTTGTGGTTTTGTAATCACCTCTTGTGAAGATCCTTGTATAGTAGACCATCAGAAAAGTCCCAACTTCTGCAAGGTAGCAGAACTAAATTCTTCAGCGAGTGTCAAAAATTATGCTATGAAGTTTTTAAAAAGCCTCCTGCTATACAATTCTGCAAAAGCATGCCATTGTTTTCCCACAATGTGTGCATGTTAATTCCAGAACCGAATAGGCAGAAAAAATTATATGAGGCTTTCTTTGCCCCTCTTGCTAGGAAGGGAGGAAATGGCTGGATGAGACAGAAACATGCACAGTTGGCACACCAACCTGGATTCAGTGTTGCTATGCATGTGTTGTAGAAAGCTGAGTAAAACTGTATGTCTTAATGCATTTTAAGTATTTAACTCTCTTCTACTCTTAAATGCACTGGGTTCTACACTTGACAAACAGTTAGATTTCTCCACTTTGAAAGTACGTCTCCAGAACAGTGCCAGGGTGCAGCAGCGAGAGAGAAAGCTGTTGTTTGGTGGAAGTAAACTATAAAGATGCTCCTCCTAAGGGCACAGCTGCAACCTCCTTGTTTTAGGAACTGAAAACATTCACACAATGGTCTCCATTCTGTATGCAAAAAAAGGACTTCCAGCACGACTGGCAAATGGTTTTTGTGGGGTTGCCTTCTTAATGTGGGGTTATTCCAGGGCAAAAGGTACTTGCCTTTTTCAGCGAGAAGCTCCCTTCTGTCCTTATTCATTTAAGAGTCCAGCTTGAAGCACAGCCTGTTACTGTGCAGATGTGTCCTAGTTCAGCAGTGTGGTGCTGGAAGTGGAATGCACAGTTAAGGCCTACTTCAGTTTCTTGGGAATACATCTTCTGACGTGTGTTTGATTTTTGTCCCAAAGTCTAGCAAGCACTTTTGTTTATGCCCTGGAGTGTTCTCTGGTTTTCAAGTGGTAAGTTTGCTTTGCCACTGTATTCCCCCTATACAAAACCTCCCTTTAATGCACTGCAGGTGTGCATGTTGTGTTGTATAGTTTGGCATATTTACAGAAGCGAGCATCATTCCACTTTCCATTGCTAAGCGTTCTGGGAAATGGAAGCACACACGAGGCCTTATCCAGTACTTGAAACCCCGTTCAGCAGTCACTGAACTGCTCAGTCCCTGTTAGGTGGTTTTCATCACGGTGCCTAGACAGAGGTTTGGTTGTGTCGCTTGGTTAAATTATGCAAAGGTAATCTCATGGGGAAGTGTGCAATTGTGACGTGACATGCAGAATGCTGATGATGCCACCAGTTTGGTTTTATTAGTTTATGCATGAAGAATAGGAAATATGAGCACAAGTATTTATCTAGGGTGTTTTACCCACATTTAGGAATATATGTGACTTGCGTAATTTGAAGCACAGGAGAAGATAATTTGTCAGTACCCTTGGTGGGGTGGCAATAGCTGGTTGTTAGATTTCAGTTCAATATCTGGGTGGAATATAGTCTGATCTGAGATTGAACCTAGATCATCTTTGTACAAAGCCCACACTTTTGCTGTTCCTTTTCCTTTTTCACTATCCACCAAGCACGCTATCAGAACACCGCAGTCCTAAAAAACCATAGATGGGACCTTATTGATTCCCCATCTGCAGGCAAGAACATGTGGTTGGCCTGTTGAGCTTGCGCTCAGTTGCTCCCTATACTATATGCTAGATGGACGCTTCAGCCTGTGCTCATCTACACAGTTCAGTAGGAGAAGAGTAGACTGTCTAGTGGTGAACACTGGTTCCTTTCCCATGCTTCAGATGCATCGGTATAAATCTGGAAAAAACAGGGTTTGCTGTGTGCTTTTTCTCCTATGGAGCAAGAGGCGATGGCACGCGAGAGGGGGCTAGAAGCTCACAGTGAGAGTCAGGCGTTGGAACAAGGAGATTTATACTTGGTGCCCAGGGCCCAAACGGCCCCCCTGCAACCCGACTCTGAGGCTTCCTCGTGAGTAGCCTCCCCACATCCTGGCTCTGAGTTGTTGGAGCAGGGTGCAGCTTCCCTTCCTGTAGACTCCGAGGTGTTTGAACAAGTTGCCCCCCCCCCCCCGCCACCAGACTCTGAAGCTGCTGGGCTGAGTCCTGGAGAACAAGAAGACGTAACAGGAAATTTATGGAACGCCCAACTTCCGAGAAGATTGCGGAGGCTAGACCAATTGGAATGGCAGGAGAGAAGCTTGTCCCACCCACGGACAGAGAGACGTGAGAGGAGACTGAGATCCACGTGACTTTCTCTCTCTTAGTTCAGAAAGGAGGGAGCAACTGAGCTGCTAGGAGCCCATTGCCAGAGCTTATCTGTTGCATCGTAAATCTTGTAGTAAATAGCAATAAAAGTCATTAGTTTTATTGCCGACTGCTGTGTGAGTTAATTGGAGACGTGAGAAATGGCCTCACGACACAAACACAGCTTTCCTTTGTGTTTGCAATGTTTTTATCAAATGCAACAGCAAACACAATGCTGATTGATTTGTGCGCCTTGCGTTTTTGCTTTACACTTTAGACAAATTGTCCAGCTTTTACAAAATAAAATAATTTCAAATTTATAGAATAAAATATTCTTGCTGGAATAATATTATTTATAGATTGTTATATTAGTGTTACATAAACATGCTGCCTGGGGAATATAGGACTTTTCTCTCTCTGAATGTTCAGAGGATTGTGTCCTTAGTGGGTAAGATGAGTAGAATGTGTAAGATAATATATTTGGATAATACTTTGGTTAACCTAGAATGAAATCCTGTGACAGTTTGCCAGTGGTCTGAAGAGAACTACCTTTATTTTTTAATTTACATCTCCCCTGTTGGTGAAACGTAAGAATGAGAGGAAAAATGATTGACAATCTGGAATGTGGAGGAATGGTAAAAGGACTTAGAGGAAGTGATAGATGATAGAGTTAGTTATGAAGCAGGCACTGATGGGGACACATGGAAGAAGGGGAATGGGAAGAGATGGATGGAGAAGGACCAGTAAGAAGACAACAGTAGGATAACTGTTAAAGATGAGAGTTGCTTACATTAGGTTACAATATCAGGTAGAGCCATGATTCTTTGTCCAAGCTGTTATTTTCTATAAATATATTTAGAGTGTACAGGCAGTTCCCAGGTTACAAATGAGTTCTGTTCCTGAGAAAATGGAAATTTGTATTTAAGTTGAAGTTGGATTGCATATAGTCAGTCCTCCACATTCAAGGGACTCAGGACCCCTGCGAAAACAGAAAAACCACAAATATCTCTAGCCCCCTCTGCCCAGACTCACCAGGGCCTCCTTTTTTACAGCAAGGAAATGCAGGGCAGGAAGGCATGCTTTGGAGACCTCTCCCCATCTGCTTCCTGTCTCTTTATGGAGATGCAGTAATATTTTAAAATTAATAGGTTCATTCATAAGTATGGGTTGTTTGTAACTCAGGCACCTGTAATCCTATGCAAGTGTAGATAGAAACATAAAATGTAAAACAAAGAAACAAAGCAAATCTGAAGGGGCTTCCCGGGCCACCTACCCCTGGCTCCAACTGGCTCCACTCATGTAATCCCCAGCATGTGGTTGTCCAATCTTACTTTGAACACCCTCACTGATGGGGCCCCCACCACCTCCCTTGCAAGTCCATTCCATATCCTAGAGGTCCTAACCATCAGGAAGCATTTCCTGACATCCAACGTCAAGCCTATTTCCTTGAGCTTTGCCCCATTGGAACATGTCCTGCCCTCCATTACAGGGAAGAACGGGCCATGGCCCTCCTTCACATGACATCCCCTCAGATACCTATAAGTTGCTAAAACATCCCCTTGGAATCTGCTCTTCTCCAGGCTGAAAAGAGCCAGTTCCCTCAATGGCCTACAACTCCCATCCTGTTCCAGTCAGCACAGTAGACAGGGACATAGTAGACAGTTGTGGGTCATTTTCTACCTTACCTTGCTTGCACAGGATTGCACCTTTACTGATTTAAATTCAGATGTGGGAAATTCCAGAATATCCTATCTTATTCGAGATAGTGGCTTTATTTTACACAGCTAAATATATAAAGGGAAAATACTACTGGTATCCATGACAGGTGGGGCAGAATTTATTTTGGGAGAGATTATAGGATGTCTAGACTCATGGGACTGGCTGCAGTAGTGACCTCTAAGGGCAGGGCCTTATTGAGCCCCTGGAATGTACCCTTTGGGCAAAAGGAGGCAAGGACACAAAGGTGGGAATTTAACTTGATGGATGCTGACGCATGCTTGAATTTTGGCAAAGATGAACAGATGAAGTAAGCAGATGAACATACACAGTAGCCGAGTTCAGCAATTTCCTTTTAGCCACTGTTTCCTGTATTATAAATGGAAATAAATGATGTGCTGCAGGAAATATTCCCATAACAGGCCATTCAATCATTGTAGTTAATAGAAATTTGCTATAGGTAAGAAGTTAAAAGGCACCACATTATTCCTTTTAGATATTTTGACACCAAAATAAAGAAATATGCATGGCTTTTTTCTTTTGTACACTTTGTGCATTATATGCCACATTATTCAATTAGTTACGCATCTTACCGAAAACTCTGTTTGGGACTGTGAGGCAAAATGAGTTAGCTGTATTGTGAACTGAAAAAGTTTGCTTATTCAAAGATCTTGCACAATACTTCATCCAGCTTTCTCTCTGCAATCAATTCCTTGCTGTTTTATCACTTAAAACTTCTGTGTCATAACAATCAATTTGCTATATGAAGTCAGCAGAGTCTTTTTTATCATTTTACTTGAGGTGACTATTTACTATCCATTTAAATGATAGTTGAGTATTCCCAT